AGGAGGAGGAGGAGGAGGAGGAGGAGGAGGAGGAGGACGACCTCTTTGGGGCCTGCCTGGCCGATCCCGACGTCGGTTGGAACCATGTTCGCGGCCCTGGCGGGGCCGCGGTTTGCACCTTGAGACGCATGGGTCGGGAACTTCTTTTTGCATCCGATTGTCTGGGGGGGTCCGAGAGGAGGCGCGCTCGACTTCGACTGCCTCGTGGAGAAGTCCCTCGGGTCACTCGTCTAGGCAGGCGCCGAAGTCTCCCTCCTCTGCGATTTGCATGGTCTTCAGTCGCGCGGCAGCGTGCTTCGGGGATTACCTAGACTGGAACCCATCATTGAATTGCTGCAGCGTCTACGTGGGGCAGGGCAATTGGCCGAGGCCGCGTCGCAGGCGTTGTTGCGGGGGTGCACCCCACGCAGCGTGCGTCGTTGATGGACCGGCGCGCTGCCACTCACCAGTGCAAGTTCTGTGGAGAAATGGGAACTCCTAAGCATCGTCTGGTTGAATGCCCCGCGACATGGTGGATCAGGCGCGAGGTCGACCTCCCTGGTGCTATCGAGGCTATTCGGAACGGTGGCCCGTTTGACGTTGGAACCACGCGGCGTCCGAAACCCAGCCTGGCCTTCTCAGCCCCCCCTCCCGCGGTCGGATCAAGCCGTCGTCTGGAGGGTGCTGGAGGGCGCGCCCACCGAATGGTTCCTTCAGTGGCCAGGTCGCCATTGATGGGTCTTCTCTCTCGCCTGGAGGCGTTGCGAGTGAGAAAGCTGGCTGGGGCGTTGTCATGATCGACCGCCATGGCGATTACGATGGAGTTTGTTTTGGCCTGCCCCGCCCCGTCCAGCAGGCGGGCTGCGCGGAGGGTTATGCTTGGCATAGGCTGCTATGCCGTGCTGGGGTCGAGCCCTCAACAGTGGCGCGCGACTGCCAGATGGTTTTAGATGTCTGGGGGCGCGGAGACGGATTTTTGATGGAGCTAGCGACCTCATGGCTCCTGTCACTCTGAGCAAGATTCGTAGCCACCAGTCCTGGGCGAAGGTGGGCGCACGAGGAACGGCCTGGTGGGCTTGGAGAGGCAACGGAGAGGCTGGCCGAGAGGCCAAGCTTGGCGCCCCCATGCAACCCAGGCCGCCTGATTTGAGGAACGAGCTCAAGGCCCAAGATGTTGGAATCCGTGGGTTGGCCCTGTTTGACGGCCAAGAGTGGTGGGGCCTCAGCTCGGCTCACTTTAGGTGATGAGGACCGTTGCAAACCCAACGTCTGAAAGCTCCCGACATTTTGGAACTAGTGCCTGAACCGAGTGGGCACGGTGTGGTGAAGGCTGGCAGAAGATCGGCCTGCCAGAGATGCGGGGTGCGCGACCAGTCAGGAGCGGCCATGTGCGCTTTTCCCTGCACGGGTCTCCCAAGAGTTGCCCGATGGTCAGACCCCTCTCACCACCCCTGGCATGGACAGGGAGACTCATCTGGTGCAGTCTTTGCGCGGCGTTCGGAACCAAGAAGGTCAAGCACCTAGCTGAGAGGTGCCCCGGATGCCCTCGCAACAGGTCTGCGAGCAAAGCCTTGGGCCTGCTGAAGAGCGGGGTGGGCCCCAGTTCGAAAGAAGCGTTCGGTAGGTCCTCTTTGATTTGCAAGATCTGACCTTCTTTCCCGTTCCTCTTCAACACTTTTTCTTGTGGCGAGCGCTGCAGAGCAGGACTCGTTGCGCCAAGGACCTAAAGGACCTAGATGAGGAGGAGGAGGAGGAGGAGGAGGAGGAGGAGGAGGAGGAGGAAGAGGAGAAGGAGGATGATGAGGAGGAGGAGGAGGAGGATGCGGAGGAGGAGGGCGGGGGGGAGGGGAGGAGGAGGAGGAAGGAGGAGGAGGAGGCGAGGAGGAGGGAGGGAGGAAGAGGAGGAGGAGGAGGAGGAACGGAAGAGGAGGAGGAGGAGGAGGAAGAGGAGGAGGAGGAAGAGGAGGATGAGGAGCATGTGGAGGAAACACAATAACAACACGAGTACTACGAATATGAATGACAATATTAAGGCAAATGACAATAATCATGCTGCTACTAATAAGAAGACAAATAATGAGAAGACGACGAGTAATCATACTAATATTAATGCTACGAGTCGTTGTAATAAGAAGACGAATGCGAATAATACTCATACTGCCAAGGATGTTTATGCTAATAACAATAATCATACTAACAATAAACATACTACTTAATCTGGTAAGAAGAAGACGAAGCAGAAGACGAACAATAATAACACGCGGACTCATAATGGTAAGGGTAAGCAGATAATCAGAAGACGGAGAAACTAATACTACAAACAATAACAACATTCGAACAATATGAGGAGGAGAAGGATGATCTATGAGGAGAGAGGAGGAGGGAGAAGGGGGGGGGAGGGAGGATGATGGAGGAGGAGGAAGAGGAAGAGGAGGAGGAAGAGGAGGCCGACTAATTCTACTGTAAACGATAAGATGTTTGGATAAACAACGACGAATAAGAATAACACCAACAACACTAAAACTCAGACTCGTCAGACGAATTCTAGGTATATTACGAAAGATATGAATATTATTTATGATGATAAGCATCAGAAGACGAATACGAATCCTATGAAGCAGATTAAGCATAGCAAGACGAATACGAATAGTATTGGAAAACCAGAATACAGATAATAAAAATACTAATACTAGTAATAACGAGAGGAGGAGAAGAAGGCGCAGGAGAAGGAGGAACAGGAGGAACAGGAGGAGGAGGAGGACGAGGGAGGAAGAGGAATGAGGAGGGAGAAGGAGGAGGAGGTGGCGTAGGAGGAGGAGGAGGAGGAGGAGGAGGAGGAGGAGGAGGAGCAGGAGGAGGATCAGGAGGAACAGGAGGCGGGGGAGGGGGATGATGAGGAGGAGGAGGAGGAGGAGGTGCAGGAGCAAGAGGAACAGCAGGAACAGGATGAGGAGGAGCAGGAAGAGGAAGAGGAGGAAGAGGAGTAGTAGGAGGAGGAGGAGGAGGTGGAGGAAGAGGAGGAGGATGAGGAGGAGGAGGAGGAAACGCAGGAGGAGGAGGCGGAGGAGGAGAAGGAGGAGGAGGAAGAAGAGGACCAGTGTAAACCCAAGAGTCTTTGACGATGTTGGAGTCAACTTTCCCTCCATGCTCCCCTCCATAGGTCACTACAACTGTTCATGTCCATTGGGGGAACTTCCTCTTTGGAAAACAACCAACTGTTTGATGACCCTGAAGCATGCCAACACTTTGTTCTCGGGATTTCAACGCCGCGGATCAACCTGACTGTTGCGTCTTGACAACCCTGAACCGTGCCAGAACACCATTCCGGGGACTTCAGCACAGCGAGCCAACATAACGGTTGCACCCGCATCATCCTGAATCCTTTCAAAACACAATCTCTGACACGTTGACGATGGGACTCCGTGTAACTCTTGCCAACTTGTAAAACGAATGTGCGCCGCGCTAAGGCGAGAACCAGGAGGAGGAAGAGGAGGAGGAGGAGGAAGAGGAGGAGGAGGAAGAGGAGGAGGAAGAGGAGGAGGAAGAGGAGGAGGAGGACGAGGAGGAGGAGGAGGAGGAGGAAGAGGAAGAGGGGGGGGAGGAGGAGGGGGGGGGAACCCCGGTTGGGAGGGAAGGCCGTGCAGCAGTTTCGCCCCCGCCCCCGCCCCCCCCTCCCCCTCCGCCTCGGAGGCGCGATGGAGACCGGCTGGGCGCCGCCGTTCCGGCACCCGGGCGACGGGACGAGGCTTGGGGCTCGTTTTCTCGTGTTCGCTCTCCTCGCTGTTGGTACTTCTCTTATGCCGCTCTTCAGCATCGTTTCACCGAGCCCTGCCCCCACTCCGATCCCCATCCAGGCCCCCACCATCGCATTGCGAATAAGAAGAAGAAGAAGAAGAAGAAGAAGAAGAAGAAGAAGACGAAGATGGTGTCTGTGGAGTACCCGAACTCTGGAGTACCTCCACCTGAGAGAAGTGAACCTCCACCATCGCATTGCCCCAGCGGGAGGCATACCCTTCGAAACTCGAAGGAAGTGGCCGATCACCCGCATCTAGGGGGGGTGCGTCGGCCACTGGGGGCCCACGCCACGCCGGTGGGGACAGGGATCGGTTGAACGACGCTCCGTTCCCTTCACCGCTCCCGTCCCTTCCTAAATCAACATGGTCCACTCCTGCCTTGCTCCTTCTTCTCCTGCCTCCCTTTCACCTCCCTCGCTTTCTCCCCCTCCACCCCTTCCACGTGCTCACTTCCATCTCTCCCTCCTCGTCCTATCCGATTGCGTCCTGCCCAATCCCACGCCATCCCATCCCATCCCATCTCATCCTATCCTGTCCTATCCCATCATATCCAATCCTATCCTATCCGGCTCTTCTCTTCTCCCTTTTCTCATTCGTGATCATCCTGCTCTTTTGTCTCCTTCTTCCTCCTCCACCCTCCTGACGTGTCATGAGTGTGCAGGGATGTCCCTAGTTCTGATCAGCTCCTGGCACGCTGCCTGCCCGCCACCACTGTTGCTTCCAGAAGGGCCTGTTGGGGGGGGGGAGGAGGAGGGGTTAGGAGGGAGGAGAGAAGAGGAAGGGTTTCAAGAAGGTGGAGGCGGAGCAGGATGAGGAAGAGGGAGGGATGGAGGGAAGAAGAGAAGAAGGAAAGATGATGGAGGCGGAGGTGGCGGAGGAGGAAGGAGGAGGAGGAGGACCAGTGTAAACCCCAGAGTCATCATCGATTGGATCACCATGGATTTCCATGGGTTCTCATCTCCTACACTGCAGGGCCATGCGTGCTCGAGGCCTCAGTGGATGATCTGCACCTCGCAATTATCTCCATTGAAGACAATGAGTGCCCATCGATACTGATCACGGTTACGCTCACGCCGACTTTGCGATGGCAAGGGCGCTTCTTTCCACGCTGTGATGGCATAGCCAAGCGTGCTCTGAAAAGTTGTACCCACTGTGGGCCGTTAATTCCATCGAGCTCAACCGGATCCGGCGCTTCGATCGAAACGGGTCGCATCTGCGCGCCGTGCCGATACAGTCGGGGCCCTGAAGAAGGAACCCTTTTCGTTGGGGAGGGGCTCCGCGTTCCTTAAGTGTTCCGCAGCTTGCCTCGGGTTTTCCTTATGTTTTCGATCGGAAATCGAAGTTTAACTCATGGACAAAAAGGGGCCTCGTTCCTTATTTTGGGTTCCTTAGGTCAAGCCCCCGAGTGTACAACTGACACAGGCCCTCGGGCGGGAGGGCCAGTGCACAGCCGGGCTCTCCCCATCCTCCGCAAGCGGGGCGCATGCCGCACGGAGCTGCACTTCTGGAGAGGACGGCCATCATCTCCACGCGCATCGCGACGGACGATCGCAGGCCTAGTGGTTGGCACCAACACCAAGATCGGTGGTGTGCCTCCACCGAGGGAAGACGATCCCGATCTCGGTTACGGTGGTTATATTCCGGCGTCCAAGGTGGCCGAAATATTGCCACCAACACCGGAATCTAGGATCATCTTCCCCCTGTGGAGGCAACCCCCTGGGCGGCCGTGCGCCCCGTCCACCTCCGCCTCCCCACAGCACCGTCGAACTCCGAGTGTGCGCCTTTCTTGAGGAGGAGGAGGAGGAGGAGGAGGAGGAGGAGGAGGAGGAGGAGGAGGAGGAGGAGGAGGAGGAGGAGGAGGGAGGAGGTAGGAGGAGGAGGAGGAGGAGGAGGAGGAGGAGGAGGAGGAGGAGGAGGAGGAGGAGGAGGAGGCTCGTCAGGAGGTGGCCCGCCCGCGTAGCCGCGCGCGCACGCGATCCGCAGGTCGCAGGTGAAGAGCCCCAAGTGGTTCCACGAG